AAACACGGAGATGCTACTAATATAAATAATTATAGACCGATTTCTATGATAAGCAATTTTGCAAAAATACTAGAAAAAATAATAAAAATGAAATTGATAGTTTACTTAGAAAAAAATAAATTGTTTGGTTTGGTTTTAGACCTGGATTGAGCACTGAAAATGCATTGTACAGTGCCAGTAATTTAATTTATAATGCACTTGACAATAGTAAAAAAACAATGGCAATATTTTTAGACTTAGCGAAAACATTTGATACGGTAAATCATAATGAGCTTTGCAACATTTTGCCAAGTTTTGGTCTAAAGAATAACAGTTTTAAATGGTTTAAGAATTATTTAGAAAACCGAAAACAATTAGTTCAAACCAATGACAGTAAAGGTGATTAAATGAATATTCAATGTGGAGTACCATAAGGTAGCRTCTTAGRCCCTCTACTGTTCATATTATATACATMAACTTTATATGTAATCTAAAAATTGATGGACAGATTGTGACTTATGCTGACGATACTTGTSTATTGTTTTCTGGGGATTCATGGGATGAAGTTCGCTCAAAAGCAACAAAAGAATATAAAAAAGTAATTAAATATCTTAATCATAAGAAACTCTCAATAAATTATCAAAAAACTAATTATATAAACTTTTCAATTAATAAAGATGAAAACCATTATGATGAATTAAAAATCTGTTTCTGTGAGAATGAAGATAGTTGTAATACAACTTTATGTCAAACAATATAYAAGGTCTCTAGTATAACTTTTGACGAACACATTAAATTACACACCAATAATATTGTAATACGTATGCGTACATTAACTTTTAGTTTTTCCAAACTACGGAAGTATTTAACTGTGCAAACTACGCGTATAATTTATCTATCTTTATTCCAATCAATATTTCAATATGGTTTATTGGTCTGGGGAGGTCTAAATGAGTTTGCGGTTAGACCTTTAAAAATGTTACAAAGAAAGATTATTAGGATCTGTTTATGCAAAAATGATTTAGTAGGCTCTATAGGAGATAATTTTAAACTGTTCAGAGTGCGTTACCATTCGAGAGTGTATATAAGAAGGTAACTATTCTATATGTAATACAAAATTATGAAACATTTGTAGATATAGAAAATATAGGGAAAAAAAGAGAAGTAAGAKAATTTGATGTGAATATAACTTATTACAAAAAAGCATTTGGCCAAAAATGTATTAATTATTTAGGTCCGAAATATTTTAATTTAATGCCACTACATTTAAAAAAACTCATTTACTCTACATCTGGGAATCTTAAAATTTCAAGTATAAAAAAGCAAATTAACTTATGGTTATTTTCTCTATTAAGTGTATAAAGATTAAAATGCAACATTATTTAATTTATTTCACATACTTTTTCTTGTTTCTATATGTAATAATCTTAGATTTAATTTTAACATTTAATAGTGACCTATATAAATTTGTGTCTATCATTATATAATGTAACTCTCTACCTCCATCACAAGCATATGCTTAAGAGAGGTCGATAATTTATTTTAAAATTTAATCTTAATGTTATTATTTACTTGTATTATAAATGTTTTCTTTACAATAAATTCTTTCAAAAAAAAAAAAATCACATACCAAATAGAAAACACTTACTAGTATACTGAAGTGCCTAAAATTCATAATTTTTGAACTCTTATTAGTTTGATTTATGTTAATGAGTAAAATAAGACTATATAGGAAATTATATCAATATAAAAATACATTAACAGTATCTCTCTAATACATTTTTTATTTATATTTAAATGTTAAATAAGATATGACTGATTAATGATTATTCATCTATAACTGGGCTAAGTGGTCGATGGATAATTTTATTAGATGGATACATCAAAAATAATATTTTTTAATCTATCATTAAATTGATAAACACTTATATTATACTTATGTCTTATATTATATATTGCATACATATTTTAAACTCATGTTAATTATTTTATTTTATTTTAAAGTTCTTTAAAATAAGTTAATCAACTAGTTGTATAAAATTTTGGTGGAATTGTCTATATTCCATAAATAATAATGGYGAATATGATAGGTGTATGGTATTGATACCTGATGGCTGATGMTAATTGAATAAAATAGTTGAATAATTAATATTAAACCGTTTACATAAATTTTCCAAGTACCGAGGACTATGATATAATTAACTAAAAGCGACTAGAAGGCGAGGAAGTAGAAATGGTATTGCTAATATCTCTTGCCATTCAATACTATCGTACTGTTCCTTTTATAATTGGAAATATGAAACTATCAAACACCTGTGTTGGCAGATTTATTTTCATACATTTAAATGTATAATGCACAGTACCTGCCCTTATGTATGTAAATGTGTGCAATTTGTCAAATAGTCTATCATTTCACATTCACGTAATATATTGCGTAGTTATACAATTAACATATTTTGGTTTTGTTTGTTTTACTTGAATTTGTTTTATAGAAATATTATACGAAAATAACATTATTAGTTGTCACTGATCATCATATTATATTTCTTTCACGCCCCCCCCCCACACGTTTTCTTCAACCCTACTATTTGTGGTCCACAAATAATATTTCTATACCAGTTCATTACATATCAATAAACTGAACAAATGTACCTATAAACTCCAAATAATTAATTTATTGAATAAAATAAAATACTTAAATAAAAACTCAAGTCAAATATTTCTAAACATACGATAAAATATGTAAAGTCACATTGCAACAATGTTTAAATTGTATAAAAGTTTCACATATATTATAGGAACATAGGGCATAAAGGTTTAAAATTGAAATAAATTACAAGGTTATAATTTTACAAACAGTATTTATTATTATTTTTTTTTTGTAAGGAGAACCCGCGGCAACATAGGCCATTGGGTGTGGGGTGGTACGGTAGGGGTTATTTTTGTATGTTTTTTTGTAGGTTTTTAAGTGGGTAGGGTTGTAACACGTGTTTGTGTATGTGTGGCAAGGATATGCTGCTAAAAATCCCAGTGGTCACCCATCAGTGCGTTTCGGCAGATTGAGCGTACGACCGCGCCTCACCAAGCCACTAAACAGTATTTAATATATTATTATTTTATGTAAATATTTTAATTACTATAAATTCACTTAATTTATTTCTTAAAAGTAACATGTTATTGTTTAAAAATGGTTTTATTATCTCAGGCAATGTATAATAATAAAGCGGACAATTTTTTTAATGTCGCAAATAAATACTAAGATCTTTGATTGCAATCTTGAGATTTAGTTTATTTAAATAGTATAAATAAATATTTTTTTAGATWAAAATAAATATTGTTGTAAATACGCTGCTCTTTAGAGTTTTTGTTGGTGATATGAATGTAASTCGGTGTCATTTGTGATCAATAAATCATGTCTTAAAACTTAATCCGACACCGTCGACATGCATTTAAAATTTCTATAGTTAATTTTAAGTTTAAATTTTGCTTTAATTATATCTTATATCTTTGGTGATAACATAAATACATAATATACTATAGTAAATACGTATAAAATGGAAATTTATATGTGACTTTCATCATAACATCATCATAATAAATAGATCATTGGTATAAGTGTTTGTAAAAAATCAAAAAGTAGACTCTGCAGCATTTTTAAAAAAAGCTCAATCATTCTGRTAAATTAGAATTTTAACTATTGATGTTTCATCAATCATTTATTTGAAAATTAAAACGAAAAATGGTAAAATTAATTATTATTTATTTTTAATAAAATGCATCCCCAATATTTATAGATAGGATGTGTTAAAAATAAAAGTAAAAAATAAATGTCATCAATTTATGTTCAACCTTAATGTCCATATGTTGCATAATATATTTGTCTTTTGATGGACACTTTTAATTGATCTTTAAATTTTTAATGCCATTTTTAAACGTTAATTATTTGACAACAATTTTACAAAAAAGTCACTTGAATTAGTTTTGAAATAAACGACATACGGTCAATTTGCACATATGTGTATAATTATTTTTAGATTATAATTTTTAGAAAAATGTTTTACCAAATTGTTAACCATAAATTACATTAGTTTTCTTTTGACAGGTTGGCAATTGAAATTAATTGAACTTTTTTCTCGTTGTCTTTTGTTATGTAATGTTTGTCGATAATCTGTGTAAAATAATGACCTGAAAATTGCCGTGCGTTTAACGCTATAACAAATTAAGTAGTTTAAACTATTGTAAAAACAAAATTATGTTTTATTTTATAAACGAATAATATCAGGAACGTCCGGAGGATACGAAACGAAGAATCCATTAGCGGGAGAGTAAAGTTGAACGATCGTAAACAGCCTGCAAAACTCGAAAAACAAAAACCAATTTTGGACAAAACTATATGTATATATAAATCATCTTCGAACGGTTTTCGCATCGCTTCCGCGGGTAGATGTAGGGAACGAGGGAGTAATTTCTGTAATCACAAAAATCACGTGCGTCCCTTGGCACGTACTTTTTCCGACTTGACCTGATCTGATCCGAGCCAACCTGACCCGATCCCAGAGTGGAACTATAAAAATATGGTTTATTTTTGTTATAAAAGTCATAACGATAGAAGTTTTTAATTAATCGTTGTTTTCTTCTCTGCTGGGTACTTAAAAGTTAGTTTAGTTTACTCGGATTATGTACCATGATAGATCAACTTAGAATAATGTATATATATTGTTATTCTGAAAGAACTATTTTAGACATTATGTACCAAACGACAAGTTAAAATGTATACGATACAACACCACTATTAATAGTAGAGCTTCTCATCACATTTCAATGGGCCATTCGTACCTACCACTTAATATTGGTGGCGGTCTTTGGAAAAAATTAATATTACTATTGCTTTGATAATAATATTGATGAAAAGGCCACAAATTCTGTGATTCGAATATTTTTAAACAAGAGTACTGCCTTCGTTCCCTCATTCCACATTGAACCGACTTCACAATTCTCATGTTTGTGGTTTTTCGTTACAGGTGGTTCAACGAATGACGCGAAATGACCGGTAGAGGACCGTTTTCTGGACTTGCGGGCGAACACGTGCGCAGGGCTTCAGGTGGACGGTAAAATACTCAAAAATCCGAACMGAAACGATCGGAAACTAAAATCGAACCGACGCCGGACGCGGTACCGACTCGCTCAGGGTCAGAGTGATTTGCCGGCCGGCACCGTTATGTTCAACCCGCCCAAACTTCACAATCACGACTGGTTCATGACCATGGTAAACACGCTGATCGAGACGTCGGTGAAAGGCGGTGGTGGTGGTGACTACGACGACGGTTACGGTGACCACGGTTGGTCCGGTATCTACGGCCCRAACGGCACYTTCGACGGGGGTGGTGATGATCAAAGCGGCGGCGGCGGTCCGTTTAACATCACCATCAAGCGGACACTGGACGCGATATTCGATAACCAGCTAAACGTGGACAAGGTGTTGGTGCTATACCTAGAGGTGGCCATCGTGGTCGCATACGGCGTGCTTTTCGTCATCGGGTTAGTGTCCAACGGGCTGGTGTGCTTCGTCGTGTTCCGACAGTGTGGTAAGAAGAACGTGCCCAGCCAGGGACCATCGCCCCGCAACCTGTACATCGTTAACCTGGCGTTCGCCGACATCATCATGTGTGTGGTGTGCATGCCATTCACGCTGTGGGCACTCATGTCCCGCCGCTGGACGTGGGGCCTGATCATGTGCAAGACGGTTCCAGCCGCTCAGGGTGCCAACATAACCGTTTCTGCGTGCACCATAACCGCCATCGCTCTAGACAGGTATGTCATACGTCATTACAGTAGCTTATATTATCATTACAGCATAATAATAATAATAAGTCTATCGCAATATTACAAWTTTTTACATCAAAATTTACAATTATAAATACAATATTGCTGCGCCCCCCGGTCAGCAGAGAGCTTGTGCTTGGGGAGCAGTTCTTAATAGTTAAAAGAATAGAAAAGAGAACTGCAATGATAAAAAATTGGTATAATACATTTTTATTTTTATATATTACCTCTCCAATCCTTGAATTGACTTCCCAATTGAAACCGYGGTTAGCGCCTGAGGTGCAAGGTGAGGTAACCAACTTGTATTTTAAAATAATAAAACTTTTTTCTTTGGTCTATTAACATTACTTTTATTTAAGTTATTTCTAACGCACATTAACATAGGTATACTTTTAACAACTTATTAATTTATTTTTTATACACATATACCTATATATATTTAACTTTAACAATATTAAATCTTTCTGTATAGACGATATGCRTAGTTTTTACATTCGCTTATCTATACCAAAAGAACGATGACGACACGTCTGGCGCAGTGACTAAAAACGGAGCTCCTTATATTTAATGTATTGTATGTGTGTGTACGTGTATATGTGTGTATGTATGTGTCCTATCCTATCCTTAATGGCTAAAAATTATTATTATATATATTGAATTTAAAAAGATATGATGGCTTAAGTGCACATCATTACAGAACAATATAATAGAATGAAATTTGGTATGAATAAATAAATAGTGTCTAATAATATATATTATATTTATAACGATATTGTACCCACTGAACTAAGTATTTAAGTTAGTAAAAACTAATATATAATTTCTTATGTTTTTATTTATAACGATTATAAATTTATAAATGTATTTGAAAATATTATTAACTAATACGTATTATATTATCAAATCATTGGTACAAATAAAACGAAATATTTAATGTCCTAATTTCCYATAGATAACAATAGATATTTATATTAAATTCCCAATATTTGTACCTGTATATGATATATTTAAAACGGTTTTTAGCAAAATACACATAACTTTATAAGAATGTAGTATGGGTACATACATTATAGTATAAGTATATTAAGTATCAAACTATCAAATAATAGTTAGTAAGTAGCTAAAAATAAAATTTACTTTTATCGTGTTTTAAATTTAAATTTAACTAATAAATGTAACTAATCTTGTTTATTTTTTTCACTTATATTTGAGTTTCTTATAAAATACAAGTATTTTCCACCTAAAAAATGAGCAACAGATTTTTATAAATAATKTTCACGTATAATGTAATTACTAAGGGTCTTTGTTCATACTTATAGTATTTGACGGTTTTTTGAATGGCTTGTCTTCGAAATTTGTATCTTTTGGTGTAACTAGAATAAACATCCGTAAGTAACTTTCATAACTAAATAAAAACATAAAGTGACGTGTGACGAACAAGTAACTACTTATCTTATTAACAGCCATATAGTTTCAAAAATTATTTTCTTTTACTTTTCCCCAAACCATATTTTTTTATCCAATATATTGTGATTGAAAATTAATGATTTAAAATACTTCAGTCATACTACATAGATTGGATGGTTCCGATTCAGCCCGAATTATAATGTGTTAAATTCTTATGACCTGTTTCTCAGCCAAGAAGACTTAAAGGAAATTATATAACGGTTTGTTTAAATAAATTCTGAGTATATACTCGATGAATAAAATATAAAGTAATATCTAAGACGCAACAATTTAGAATTCTTTCGACAAACAAATATATATTGACACCTGGACATTCAATTGCAGTTTTTTTTTTGTACGTCTGATAATATTGAATAATATTATATAAAAAACGACTAACGGCTCTTGCATTCTTTGCTAAATTGACTTGTATTATATACCATTATAATCATATACTGTACACACAAATAGTTCTAATGTGGATCAAATAAGCCTTACCATCTTTGGAGTTTTGGAGTTTTTATGTGAGGAAAAACTAAGGATTTTTACATCAATATTCATTTGGTATATAAAAATATTGACGCCCGATTGATTTTTTAATTTGTTATAACAAGTAACAATACTTATTACGCATATTGTATACAAGAGGGGAGTGATTTTAATTTATTGTAAAATTATACTTATATTATATTACTATATTTATTGTATTGCTAATTTTTGTTATTAATTAGACTTTATATTTTTCTWAAAACCAAACGCAATTTAAATATTTTTTCAAAAAATATCTAAATAAATAATAAGCAGAATTTAAATTGAAAACAAACCATTAGTGCAGCTGAGATATCATATAATTATTAATGCTTTATAGTTGTGTTATACAAATCCTACTTAAATACTCATTGTAGAATTAAATACCCCATTTTTATTTTTTAATATACATACAAATTACTTGGCATACATATCATAAACTAAATATTTATTATACTTTTTTTCTTCATTGTCTAAACCATTTTTGAAATATCTGCTTTTTACAAATATTGTTTATGTCAAACAATTTCGTTACTTTGCAATTTGCAATACCTAGCAAAAGCTTTTATTATTTGAAGTGGTTATTGCTTTTAACTGTAACGACAGACAAAATATAAAATTTGATGAATGAACCGTCGATACTATTGTTATAATTTTGTGATGAAATGTACCCGTGATAAAAACATGTTAAAAAAAAATAGTATGAATGAATATAAAATKAAATAAAATTAAAGTCAAATATAGATATATTTAATTATCAAGTCAATAAATAATTATCAGTAGGTATTTTGTGTCAAAAATRAATGGAAAGATCCATACGTATATAAAAAATTTTATTTCGTTTACATTTTGAAATAATATTACTGAATTGAAAACGGATATTGTAAATGTATTATAAATATTAAAATGAAAGTTAAATAAAATAAAATAGTACAATGTAGCGATAAGCAGTTGACAGTTGTCCCTCTAAATTATCTAAACTCTACGATTATCTGAAAGTTTGTCTGAACTTACTATTTACAGTTAAATAACAATCAAACTCATGAGAAATGTAAATAGCGCTTTTAAATAATTTAAGAATATAGATTTTTTACGAAACATATTATTATATTATTGTTCATTTTGTACTGTTGATGGTTTTTTAGAAAATTATAATCGAGTTAATTTTTGTTGATATGTATATCTTATGTACAAATATATCATAGAAAAATGTGTGCAATATAACTGTAAATTAATATATTGAATAATAACACATTCATAGATCCACCAATTTTTTATCAAATCCTCACAACTCTATAAATTCTCTTTCCTCGCGTCTCTATGTATACAATTATCACAATATAGTCTTTACCATAAATACCATAAAATATTTAAAAAATCTAAGAGTTGAAATCTTGAAATTTGCTTAATATATCCAAGTTCATAAAATATAATAAAAACATAAAACGTGAACGTAATACCATAAATTTTGTTTTGTGTTGTTAATATATCAACCTGTATTTTTGTAGAATCTGCAGATGTATGTACCTAACTTAGTGCTTCGGTGAACGCGTGTAAGCTTTTGTCGTATAAATGATTTTGTGGAATATTAGTGTGGGATTGTGAATCTACGATAATTCGTCGACGAACACGTGCGCATGATTTGTTCGGTAGAATTTCGTATCGCTGAACCCCAACAAAGCCATTGCACACCTCAGTTACAGTTCCTTTCCCTTGCTCTCTTGTCCATTCCTTGTTCCTACCGCTCGACTCTCACTCTTTTACCCTTATTTTTCGATCTCTACCATGCGTTCCCTCTCTCTTCCTCTTCGTATTTCTCTCTATCTACCTCTCCTTCGTCCTCTATATCTATACATATATTTATTCCGCGGGACACATTATATACTCGATTGGTCGGATGAATGTCACGACGACACCACTGAAACTGTCAGTTCCGCCACTTTGGAGAGGGACACACATTCCACATTTCCGCCCACGGTTATGTGTTCATGATCATATCAGTCTAAGTAGTCTGACAACAAAGTTCGACGTCTGGAGTGTTTGTGGAATATAATTTAAAGCCCCGCATTACGTCTACTGCTGGTAGAAAACGTGTGATGCGTTAAAATGAGGACTCGCAACAACATATACGTTTATGTCTAAGCACTTGCATTTGAAAACAAATTTCTATAGTAATTTTTGACAGTTAATTATATATTTATTTCATTTTAAAAAATTCAACCTAGTCATGTGTTAAAAAAAACTTGTATTAATACTATAATAATATCATAAGACAAATAACGATAATTATTACTAGTATTTACGATTAGGTACGAAAAGTAAAACAAAAATACAATTTTGCAGTAAATTCTAYTTCTTTAAGTAATGTTTGGTTTACCTGGTTGTACGCGGAAAATTAATTAATTTAACGTAACAGWTGAGATATGCGAGCATCATCACATTCGATAAACATACATTTGTGTATTTTAATCAACTTTTAGTACTTTTGAATTGATATGAAGAAATAAATAACAGCAATATCTAATGTCATAATATTTACAGTACAAAATAGTTCATGAAAGAAGGAAATTGTGTAAAAAACATTGCAGTTATTATTACTATACCATGAGCGTATGGACAGCATAAATATACAGCAAATAATTGAATAGCTATTATAGATTCATCGGAGGAAATGGTACATTTTACGTGAATTACCAGAGTAAAATAAAATATAATGCTAAATTTTTTGACAGTGTGTCCGGTGTGAAACTGATTTTTGATGTAATTTCTTGGGACACTAACGAATACTGTAATTTAATATAAGGATGCTATGCAGCTTAAGTCAAGCAGAGAACGAAACAGTCTGTTATTTGAAAATGTGAAGAAAGAAAAAGCATTAATTTCATTATTTTCTAGTGTTTCTACCATATACCACTTTGTAATCGTGTATGGAAGCGTCACCCGACAACAGTTCCACAAACAGTAATATCCGTGGTACGCCATTATTTATGTCATTAATCTTAACAGACAATATT